AAGATTAAAATTCCTTTAAATAAGATGAAAATTGATCACTCTAATTTTGGGCTTGTAATAAAGAAATTAATTTTAAAATTAGATTAGATTCTAAATATAGAATCTCAATTTATATATTTTATTTTCTTTTCCTTCTTTATTTGCAGCCAGGTTTCTTAACATAAACCCACAAGCCACTCGTTACGCTAAGCTCAACATATGCTATACCTCAAGTTTCAAAAAAGGGCAACAAAAAAAAACATATCCCCTGCCTTTACATTTGAGATATACCTGCACATAGGGGTGTTATTGGGATAGGACAGGACAAAAAAAAAATTCAGGACACAATGGGATATTTTTTAAGAAAATTATTTATTAATAATAATTATATTATTTAATTCACTTATTGTTAATAATAATAATTTTTTATAGTGATTTTCAATTTTCAAATTGCAGTGTTATCTCAAGACGAAATTGGAACTGGTCAGGAAATGGGATGAAAATTCCATACAGTCACTATTCACCAGGAGGGGATTGGAACCGGAACCGGAACCAGAATTGTTTCGATTCCATCCTGTCTCATGAATAGCTCTACATGCGCACACAAATATATATAATCTCTTGGAAATTCTTAGAAGTTTCTTTCTCAAATTTTGTGGAGGAGCAGACAAAGGCGAAACATGTGCACTCATTTGTCGTTTCTTTTTTCCTTTTATATATCTTAGGGTGGGTTTATAAATTTGCTTCTCACTCGTGAATGAACATATAATAGAATTGCAATGGAAAAGCAACTAGAGAAATAATCTTAAAATTTATCATAGAGTAATTATGGAGCACCTCAGCATTAAGTGATTAAGGGGTCTTAGTAAATCTGGTATTTTTTTTTTGAATTATTACTCCACAAATTACCTGGTATTCTTGAGAACTCGCGTTGTTCTCCAATGGAACAGATACTCCACAAATTATTACTCTGTCTTGAATGCAAAAAACAGGGTAGGGAGTGGCCCTGCAAGAGAACTTTGTGAAATTGGTTGGGTTGGAAGGTATGGCTATGACCGATTTATTAGAAAATTTGTCCACATTTAATGCTCAAGCCTTAACTTCAATAGGATTGCCTTACTTAGAGAGTTAGAAATATCAATTTTCAGATTAATTGTATTTTATTTAATTTTCATATTAAAATAAGATACAATTATACATCACCATCATAACAGAGAATTAAAAATATCAATTATTAAGAAACAGGTTATCGTAACAACTACTGAGTTATTAAATATTGTTAAATAAAACAAAATGAACTTAAATAAAATTGAAATTGCTGGGCAATACTGGAATCACGAAAACTCAAAAAACAAGTTAAAGAAAAATATACAAATAGTTGGCCATTAATTTATGATGAAATAAAACTAACACCTATATCACGAAACAGGGCAGGGTACGTAGATTACCACAATTTGAGGAGTATGAATTAAGGGCACTTTTGAAGTACAAATATATCTTAACCAAGTATTATCTCCGATCCTAATTATAAGATTTTGTTTATAGTCTATAAATAAGATCTTATAATTAGAATCGGAGATAATAATATCTTTATAGGATTTCAATGGACGCAACAGAAACTTAGAATTTGTTGGTTAATGCAATGAATACTATATGACAAAAATTGATTGAACATAACAAAGTTGTTCGAAATAAAATATGCTGAAATAGAGACTACGGAAAAATCATGTCTGGCCTTAATGTGTTTTGCACATCTCGAGCTAGGAAAGCTACAGTAAGTTTTAAAAAAAAAGAAACAAAAGTCAATTTAAAATTACGACACAGGATTTCAGTATACCAAAGATGAATTACTTTTAACTAAAATGTAAAACATCCATTTCTCTGTTGTTGTATAGATGTTGTGATTTGCTGTTTGAATTTTCAAGGAAGAATTTCTTATGCCATGTGAAATAAATTTGAGTTAACATGCTAATTAAAAAAGTTATAATTAATATTTAATTTACTTAAATAGTACAGAATGTACAAAATCACAAAGCGGGATCTAACCGGGGGGAAGCCTAAGCTAGCTACTCTGTCCTGTTTTCGTCACTTTTCAATAACACTGTCCCCTTCCCTATATTGCAAATTTTCTTTCGACAAATATGGAGAATAATATTAAATAAAATACTGTCATTAGTACGTGTTAAAACCAAAGTTATTTAACTTTTATTTCCTGCCCAGTTAGTTAAGTTGTTGTTTTCGAACAGTACGGTCCAATTTCAACCAAGACAATCAATCTAATCTCGGCAGAAGAAAATCCAAGTTCATTTTATGATGAGGTCTTTTCTACAGAGAATTGAGCCCTGATTTTACGAGGAACCAAGCCAAATTCTTTGAAGTTATTGAGCAGTAAAGGTAATATTACCTCCTGTCGTTAATATAAAAACTAATTGACTAATTTAAATAGATTAAAGAAACTAATTAAGTTAATTATTTATACCACCTCTGGTCCTAAATATAGGAACTAGTTGACTAATTTGAGAAGATTAAGAAAATAAGTTAAATTAATTATTTGTAATAAATAAATGTTCTCTTTCCTAAAATATCCTTATTAATTAAGTTTATTGCCTAGAACTATTATTATTTAAAGGATTATCTTAAAAAAAAAGATAAATATAAAAGATAAAATGAATTTGATTCTTATATTTAGGATCAAAATAAAAGTCAACTAAGGTCTTATATTACGGACCAGAAATAATAATAAATAAGTATTGTTTTTCTTAAAATATTTTATTAATTAAATGTATTGGCTAGAACTACTATTATTACAACGATACCTTTAAAAAATGGATAAATATATGAAACAAAGTAGATTGGGATTTTACGTTTAGGACCTAAATAAAAGTTAAACAAAATATAATATTAAGTACCGAGGATAGTAAATGCTCAATATGTTCTTTCCCTTTATAATGACTAGGAATTAGTCTCCCACACTGCAATCCAAAGCCATATAATTAAAACAGTACCCTGAGACGGATATAGCATGGCCAATATCTGCTGCGATATTATGGCATTACCTAAAATATTATGCAGTAGACAGACCACAAAAGTAGCATATAAAATTAAATACATAGTGCAGAAAAAGAAAACGTCCAAGCAGGTAGCTCTAAGAGAGTGCACACAAACTTCAGGATTCAATGAAGTCGTCCAGCCTATTAGCCTCGCCAAGCAACGACACTAAAGACTCTTTTACAGAAGCTAACCCCTTCTTGATGGTGTCAAGCTGAGCTTCGAGATTGGAAGCTTGGCCTATAGTCTCCTCAACGTTCCTCTTCATGTCTTCTGTATCGCTACATTCCTCAATGCATTTATTTACGTAACTCAGCCATGAAGCATCAAAGCCAGCCACTTCTAAGATGATGCAGCACTTTCGAATGTAGTTTCGATTATCTTCTGTCAATTTGCCTCTCTGAGTGGTCCTCAAAATACGAGTCACGTCAGCGAAGAAGGAACAGGAGGAGGAAACAAATACTGTTCGTTGCCCTGTGTTGAGCCAGTTAAGGACTTGAGGATGCCGCTTCACCCCAGCCTCCAAATAAGGCAGCAACTCTGCGGAAATGCCCAACTCCTTAAAGCTACTGCGGCAAATATCTGCTACTGGTGTCGTTGATGAAGACGGAGCTTTTGAAGCTTGGGAAGGGGTTGAATCAATTATATCTGGTTAAATAAGTAATTAAAAGGAAATTAAAACCAGGAAATAGAATCATTCAAGGCTTTGAAGAGGGGGGGGGGGAAAAGTTATTTTCCTTCTTCTAAAAGAAAACGTCTTGCATGCTTTACTTTCAGCCATTACAGAGTTTGATGTTTGACAGTATAAGTCGTTTTCAAAAGTAATTTTAAACGTCTTACACGCTCTACTTTCAGCCATTGCAGAGTTTGATGTTTGACAGTATAAGTTGTTTCAAAAGTAATTTTTGCATCTGATTTTCCAGCATTAGAAAAAAAAAATTAATTTATTTGTAAAAAGAAGATATTTGTATACAAAAGAGAGCTAAAATAAAGTAGAATCTTGAAAACGGTACCTGAAGTATCAAAACCTTTTTTTTGGGGGGGGGGGCTTCTACAAGCATTTGATCTTTTTTTTTTTTTTTGGTACAGCATTTGATCTTTTATGACAACTTGGAAGCTACAAATAATACTACTTCCTGTCTTTAATATAAGAACTAGTTTGGCATTCAATTTGGTCCTAATTTCTATCCATGATTAGCAAAAATGTTTTAGAAAAGGCAACACTTATTTATTATAAATAATTAATTTAAATATTTTTTTAATATTCGGATTGGAGATAGCATGATATCAACTCCTACGGAATTCATATGTTTCTTGTGTCCCAATAGCTGAAAAAATAATTTCTTAAGAGAAATTAGAAAATAGAATGACAAGATTTTGTGAAAATTGAAATAATTTTCTATATAATAAGTGAAAAAACCCCATTACTTTTTTTGCAATCTGCATTCATAGAAGTTATGGCCTGGTTCAACAAATTCTTACCAAAATGGATATTTGAATCATGGGATTCAACTAGTTGATTTCAATGAATATAGTAAAAAGTTAGAATCATTATCCAAAGACTTCTGTTATAACTTTTAGTATAACAAATAAGTTACAGAATAGTTATGGCAAATTTGGAGACAAAAAAACTATTATTAAATCATACCTTTCTCCTGCATTATGGTAATGTCCCGCGCATTTTGTGTAGCTTGAATGGAGGATTTATCAATGCTCTCATTTGTCACATGAGTCCCAGTAGCTACATAAATGAGTAAAACAAACCAAAAAGAAAAAAAATAACTGAGAATATTTTGGCAAAATAAATATTTTTTCCTTACAAAACGATAAAATGCAGTAATCATACCTATGTTCTGAATTGAGCCGGGGATTAATATGTATTTAGCATTTTGAATCAACGGTCTTTGAATGGTTTCATGCATCTCTTTAGTCCCATTATCTAAACAATCAAGATTATTTTTTAGAGAAAAACAGAGAAACAAATATAATAACACAAATTCTGCAAAAAGATAAACAAAATTAATTCCTTAGAAAAGCAATATTACTTTCTTTGTCATCATTCATAATAGATGCTGTGTCCTGGACGAGCAAATTTTCTTTTGGACGAAGTTGTAAACCCTGTGATCCATCTAGTGCATTCCAGTTCATAAAACAAATTAATAAATCAGAAAGCACTATAATGGAGTCATTTACTTGCTACAGCAATTTTACATCGTTTGATGCGTATCATGTAGCCTACAAAAGAATACAAGTACCTGCATCAAAAACTGTGGTAGTGCTTAGAGCAATTTTGGTTGATTGAACCGATGGCCTTTCAACGCTGATCTCATCATGCATCCGTTGATTTTGAAGAGCTACACAATTATAAAACTCTCTAAACAAAATGACACTAATTTTCAAAAGTACAAGTAAATTAGTTCTATCTAATGCCAAAAGGGAAAAATTGATTACTTTTCTACTGAAGTTGTTGTGGCGTGGTTAAATATATTACCACTTAGATATTTGTGCCTTCTTCTTTTTCTATTAGATTTTAGCTCACTCATAATACAAAAAACTTATATTCAATAATTAAGCCGGAGAGTATATTAAACCCAAATGTCATGATACAAGAATTAACTGAAAAGAAAAATCAATACCTTTATTTTCGATTGATGAGGTCACGGCTTCTAAAGCTTGTGAAGGTGGATCAACAGCTACGTAAACAAGTCAAATGAAATTTAGAAAAAAGGATGATTTATATTTCGGGGGACAAATTCTTCATTCTAAAAAAAGATAGGAAAAAATAGTTACTTGCTCTCCTTTTAGCTACTATACAAGTCTATAGTTTGACTGGTCAAATTCTTCTTAGAAGTATATTTTTGGATCAAGTAATTTTTTTAAAATGTATTTTGATTTACATGGTATAGAGCTTGAGGTATCAATTAATAAGTAATAGAGTGGCTTAACAATTAATAGGAAACACACAAGATCTAAATGGTTCAGATTTGATGAGTTTGGATGCTCATTACTCTTGGTGGACATCCAAACTCATTCCATTAATGGGTTATTAAATGTCACTAAATAAGGTAGCAAATCAAACTAAAATAATAGAGTTGAAGCTGGGGAGCAATTAGCATTTGAAACATAATAAGAAGACATATTAAGGCAAAAAAATCGTAACTTGGAGATTGTAAAACAAAAATCATATTGTCAATGATGGAAGAGCTTAGTGTATTTTAAGCAATAGGAGCTAAGGCGTTCTCTAAGGTCTGGGGCATCTCCTGATTCCCAATACCATCTGAATGTAATTTTTCCAGTAGATTAGTTAAAATAAAAATAAATTATTAGTTAATCAAAAGAATACAATAACCAAGGCCAACTCAACTGAACAATGTTCTAAAACATAATAATATTGTACTTCAATAGAAAACATAAGATTAGAACCTGTGTTCTGAACTATGCCAGGAATTAATCTTCCTTGACCTGTACCTTGAACCAAGGGCCTCTCAATGGTTTCATCTTGAATTTGAAGAGCTAAACCAGTAAGTTAAAAAAAAAAAATCATTGAGCAGAAAATAACTCAAGATTCTAGGGGCGAAAGGAAAATTAAAAGTAAATTTTTTTCTTCTGAAAGATTAAACTGCTTTTTATTATGTTCCGTCCACACAGTAAAAAGTTCACGTCATAAAATATGTCAAAGAGTGCTATAGAAAAAAGTCACGGCACACAATGTGATAAAGCACTTCATTAGTATGATTTATGGCAAGTAAGAATCACAGAATAAGATTAATATGCCTGTTTCTTGAACTGAGGTATGGGTTAATGTGCTTTCACGAGCCTCAGCTAATGGCAAGTATTGCATTAGAGCTTGCACAAAAAAAAAAAAAAAAAGCTTCTACAGGTAGTGTTTGATCTTCGCCAAAACTTAGGGACTACAAAATAACATGATAATAATACCTGTTTCATATAGCACGGTAGGACTCAATACATTTTGATCATCATGAATTGGGAACCTAATCTTGGATTCTTTCCCCTCTTGAGTCCCAACAACTGGAAAAATAATTTCTCAGAGAAATTAGAAAATAGAATTACATAAGATTTTGGCAAAAGTGAAATAATTTTCCTCTTCAAAAAGTAAAGAAAAAAATCATTACCTTTTTTGTAGTCTGCAGCCATAGAAGTTATGGTCTGGTTGAACAGGTTCTTAGCAAGGTGAATATCTGAGTCGTATGATTCTTCTACTTGATTTTAATTAATACAATAAAAGTCAGAATTATTATATCCAAATACTTCTATAACTCTTAATATATACACACACATATATGACAAATAAGTTTTAATAAAAGTTATGGTGAATTTTGAGAGAATAAAACCAGATTCATTAAATTAAACCTTTCTCCTGTATTATGGTAATGTCCCATGCAGTTTGTGTAGCTTGAATGAAGGGCTTATCAATACTCTCTTGCGTCACATGACTCCCAGTAGCTACACAAAATAAGTAAAACAAACCAAAAAGGGGAAAAAATCAGAAGATATTGACAAATTACAGATTTTTTTTCCTTCCAAAATGGCTAAAATACAGTAATCATACCTATGTCCTGAACTGAGACAGGGATTAACATGTCTTTAGCATTTTGAACCGATAGTTTTTGGATGGTTTCATGCATCGCTTCAGTCCCAATATATAAACAACCAAGTTTATTTTTGAGAGAAAAACAAAGGAAAAAAAACAAAACAACACAATAATTTTGGAAAAGATAAATAAAATTAATTCCTCAGAAAAGCAATATTACTTTCTTCGTCGTCATTCATAATAGATGCTGCGTCTTGAACGAGCAAATTTTCACTTGGATGAATCTGCAAACCCTGTGATCCATCTAGTGCATTCCAATTCATAAAAGAAATTAATAAACCAGAAGTACTATACGGTGGAGTCATTTACATATTACAGCCATATTTTACATCATTTGATATGCATACTATATAGTCTACAAAAGAATACAAGTAGTAAGTACCTGCATCATGAACTGCGGTGGTGCTTAGAGCAATTTTGGTTGATTGAACCAATGGCCTTTCAACGCTAATATCATACATCTCTTGATTTGGAAGAGCTACACAAATTTTTTGGGGTAAAAAATAAAACTTTGTAAACCAAATGACACTAATTTGCAAAAATAAAAGTAAATTAGTTCCATCTAATGAAAAAAAAGGAAAAATTCATTACTTTTTTGCTGCCAATAATTTTAGAATTTGTGGCTTGATTAAATATATTACCACCTAAATTATTTGTGCCGTCTTCTTCTTCTATTAGATTTTAGCTCACTCATAATCAAAAGAACTTATTCAATAATTAAGCTAGAGAGTAGAGTAAACCCAAATGTCATGAAACAAGAAACTGAAAACAAAGATCAATACCTTCATTTTTTATTGATGAGGTCACGGCTTTCAAACATTGTGAAGATGGATCAACAGCTACATAAAAAAGTCAAATGAAATTTAGGGGGGGAAACGACGTTTAGACTTTGGGGGATAAATTCTTCATTCTAAAAAATGATTGGAAAAAAAGTTGCTCTACTTTTAGCTATTATAGGAGTTTATAGTTTGACCTGTCAAATTCTTGTTAGAATTATATTTTTGGATCATGCAATTTTTTAATGTATTTTGATTTACATGATACAGAGCTTGAAATATCAATTAATAAGAAATAGAGAAGCTTAACAATTAATAAAAAATATATCAGATCTAAACAACTCAGATTTGATAAGTTTGGAAGCTCACCAAGAGTGATGAGTATCCAAACTTGTTCCATTAATGAGTTATTACAAATCAAACTAAAATAATAAAGTTGAAGCTTGGGATCAATTCCCATAGCAGTTGAAGCAAGAAGACATATTAAGGCCCAAAAAAAAAATCGTAACTTGGAGATTGTAAGACAAAAATCATACTTCATTAGTATGATTTGTGGCAAATAGAAACCACAGAATAATATACCTGTTTCTTGAACGGAGGCATGAGTTAATGTGCTTTCACCAGCGTCAGCTAATGGTATTTGAATGGTCTCATTCATCTCTTCAGTACAAATTTCAGCAAAAATAAATTAATAAATATGAAGGTGGTAAAATAATAACAAATTCATCACCCCAAGCCCAAAAGTGATTTTGGGTTAATATTAAAGCCCATAGTATGAAGCCTAAGACGTGCCCCGTCTAAGAATGAAGATGAGTTTTAGGTTCGCGTGGATATTGGTTGATCCAATAGCTCCTCACTTCACTCACACAGCGGAACAGAACAGAGACACGGAGTGAGACAGAAGCGGCAGAGGACATCGGGGAAGAAGGAGGGCACGGTACCCACATGCAGCACTGGTTTTAGAACGGGGTGAGTCTCCTAAACGTTCCCCCCATCTCTATTTTCTTCAATGGTTGCTATTTGGGAATGAAGGGGCCGATTGAAATCTACTTCTTTTGAGGCAGAAGCAAACGTCCTTGCGGGTGAGGATGGTTTGGCATAGTTTGAACTTCCTAAGAGCAAAATTTAATGTTATATGTGTGAATCGTTGATGCTGTTGGCTGTGCTGATAAGTGAGATGGTTTTTGAACCCAAAGCCCCCTGTCCTAATGAGTGTAGTATCGGATTCACATTAGAGAAGGGAAGGAAAGTTTAAATATTAGTATAATGTATGTGAAGATTGAGTGACTGTGGGTTGAGTTTTGCTTTTAGGTGATGAATATATCTTTTGAGTGTTAAGATATAAACAAATAAATATAGAATAAGATATGAGGTTGTAACAATAATAAAATAAGTTTAACTAGAGAGCAGTAATATAGAAAGCCACTAGACTCTGTAAGAAAACAAAATTAAAGCCAATATTTGAGCAGTATAACGATCATTTACAAATAAACGAGGAATACAAGACTGTTTTAATCAGTACCTGTATGTGGAATAGTGTGTTTGCGTATTTCTTGCTTCCCGAATTATCAATTCGTTAGCCTTTGATTCTGCTCCATCTTCCTCGTAGCTCAATGCTCTGCTTGTGCTCGCACTCTTTGGAAGTGGAAAATAGAAGGGAATCAATGCAAACTAAACAATATAAAAATCGGCTTTTCTAAATGTTGTGCAATGACGTTTTCTGTTCATGAGAAGAAAATCAAATGGAGTTCATACAGAAAGAATGATTAAATTTTCTCCATGTCTGCAAGAAATGTTTTTCCTTCAATCAAAACAAGCCATATCAAGAAACATCAAATTAAATCACATTGAACAATAAATTTGCCATTATTTTCAAATAGCTTTCATACTATGTAAAGAGAAATTGCCACTGGAGGATATTACGTATACATGATATTCCTCATTATGTTGATTAGTTTCCGTTATTAAAAAACAAAACATACCATATCTTGGAACATCTTGCTGACTGTTCTAGTAAGATCACCTTCCAACACCATATTCCCTCTTGTTCATCTGTCAGTATCTTTCGAAGCATTGGTGCACTTGTCTCCCTTCCAGAAAAGCTAGTCATTCTTGGACATCGTCGTATTACAAGTTTCTCCAACAGTGGAAGCTTCATGGAGTAGTTACTAGAGCAGAACATCTGGAGTTTAGACAAACTGTCAAGTTCCAAAACTTCTAGGCTGTTGAAGGCAATTTCATTTCTACTCTCCCCTTCCTCTTCTGCCACGATTAGCTCAACTGAATCACACTCAATTATCTTTAATGTTGTTAACTTGACCAGACTTCTTGCAGTTGCAGAGGTAATTAAATACATCAACCCACTGCAATTTTGCACCTCTAAATGAGTCAAGTGATTCAAAGTTACCGAGGATGGCACCAAGTGCTTCAAATTGGAACATTTATCCACATCTAGGTATTCTAGAACGTCAAGAACCGGGTCCAATTGGCATCCTTCTCTGCATATATGCTGGAGTTCATTCAATTTATACAGTGTCAACTTCTTGATTTGTGTTTTAATCTCAATTTCTCCATTCTCATCTCGAGGCCTTTCTTCTGGGAATATCACCTTGAAAGAATAGTCTTGAATGAATAGCCACTCAAGAGAAGATATATTTCGGAGAAACCAATATGGAAAAGTAGCTTGAGCATCATCTAATTCGTACAACCGTAGAAAGTTGAGTTTGGGGAGTTGGTTTCTTGGAACTTGCGATTGAAATACCATGCTAGCATCCTCATTGTTTAGACCTAAGCTCTCTAGGTTGTCAATCACCTATGCCATCCAAGGAGAAGAGTTGATCACTAGGGGGAACATTTGGTATGTTTTAACAGTAGTATTTACAGGAGTCAATGGTGCTCCTTGAGAGTTCATTAAATCTTTATTTCCGAACAATGTAGCAGTAAGTCAATAAGTAATAATACCATACTCAAGAATATAATTGCATAACATGCATCATATTTAGGTTTGAAGGGAACTTTAGAAACAACAGAAATATTATAAAATGAGTTTGAGATATTAAAAACAAAAAGGCAACGAAGCCTAGGAGAGTGTGAGGCCTGATAGGAAACGGCCTAGAGCCCCACTCTTTCGAAGGCTCTGCTGTGTGTGTGATTTGCATAAAAAAACCCACAATAAAAGGCCACAATAAAAAGGGAAGGGGTGTGAAGAACAAGTTTCGGCCTCATCATATCTGAACCATTCACATCTGATTTGGATAGTCTAAGTTTAATTTTATTTTTTATTTTTAAATGAAAAATATTTTTTAAAATGATAGTTAAGAGATTATCTTTATTTTAGATTCTATACTCATTAAAATATTATTTTAAAAAAGTAAAAATAAAAAATAAATCTAGACATCCAAATCAGATCTAAATGGTCCAAATAAAAAATGTGTTAGATTACAGTCAATGTAACTGGTAACTAGCATAAAGTTAAAGGAAAAAAAATTATTATAAAAATTAACAATAAAGATATTGGAAAAATTGTTTTAATATTAACAAGAAAATTTAAGCTTCAGTGAATATTATGATGTTGACGGTGTTGTTTTATTTTCTGAAGTGAGGGTATAGATGAAAGTTTTGACCCAAAAAAACCTAAAACTCCTATAGAACTGTTATACCATATAAAAATATATTATATTCTAATTGCATGCATTTGTTATAAGATATTATATTGGCAATTAATACTGTAATAGTTGTTGCTGCTGAGAGAAGTTTTTTCAAATTAAAATGCCATTTTACAAAATATATTGCATGGATTTGCAATACTGTCAATTGAAAGTAATATGTTAGAATTACTTAACTTGGCAAAAAAAACTACTCAACCATGATAAAAATTTTATAAATGATTTTGCAACTACAAAAACTTAAAAAATAGAGACATTAATGAGTAATATAGACCTAAGTCTATTTAGCGACCTCTCCTGGAGCCCAATTATGCCTGGGCACACCCTTCACAAACAAACAAACACATAAAAAGATTAATTAGTTATTTTCTTTAAAATACGAGCATTACCTCTTCAAGGGTGAAAAGAGGCTGTTGCGTTGAGACACAGAGATTACCATGAGAAAGACTTCCTTGGCTACGTGTACCTTGTGTCTTGAACAGCTTCAATTTTTTACAATAATAGACCTCTAATTCTTTTAATGATGAACAAGATAAACTATGATTTCCAGCACAAAATTCCTGCAAATCATGTAAATTCCAAAGCACGATTGAGGTTAGCTGATTAAACTCAAATTTGACAAGATGATCTAAGGGTTCTTCTCTCTTGGAAACAATTTCCTTCATCTTTTCAGCACTCTTTATTGTAATTGCTTCAAGTTGAGGTAGGTGCTTTGCTATGGAGAATGGAAAAAGGTAATCTAAATCTCCACAGTCTTCAACACGCACAACTTGCAGACTCTTAAAGTGAAGACTTGGTTGGCAATCTGTGCTCCAAATTTGTTTCAGCTTCGGCAATCGAAGCAAGGTTATATTCTTGAGCCGTGTTTTATCATCTCCACTGAACATTTCCTTAGCACCCAACTGGAAAATTTCCTGCACTGAGTTGCAGTCTTTAACCTTCAACGTCTGTAGAGCTGCAAATACTCCGTTCATGTATATTGGAAATATATGCTGAATTTTTTGACACTTTTTCACTTTCAATGTCTCAAAGCTACCCATGCAATTCGGAGTTAGGACAGGGTGCCATATTGTTCCCAAGTTTTGCAAGTCTTCTATTATTATTGTTTCCAGTTTGGGTAGAAGTACCTGCGATCAACTCAATAGTTGCACTGTTAGTTAAAAACTATACTTGGGATAAGTTTTATCAAAACAAACGCATAATTCGAGTAAACTCTGTTTCTGGCAAATTAACAAGTTCCCGGAGATTTTTGTATTTCCTCATCACTTTGGAACAAGTCAAGCCCACCCCACGTACTTCGACAAGTTTTCAAAAATTGAAGGCGTACAGATTTGGTCAGTGATTGCTTTCGGCATTCATGCGTCCGTGTTAAGTGGTTTTGTGCAGTCCATAAGTCCATTTAGCCAGGAAAGAATGACAAGGGGCTTAATATTCTTAGGGCATATGGCATAATACTGGATGATTTGGCACAACAAAAGTAAATAAATTTTGATTGTTTATGTCACTTCACTGAATCCAATCACTTATATCCTTATCAAAATGTTCGACAAAAACATGATATGTGCATGGCAACCAATAACATAGTTGTTATCAGAGAAACATGTATAGTTGTCATGTTTTTATAATAGAAATTGATTGACTGATAGTGATAATATTTCATTTCATTATGTTGAATTTCCTCTCTGATTTTTTTAAAAAATATTCTAAACACTAATACTACTATTTAAGGTATTAACCGACTCTTACATTAAGGAAAAAAATATTACGAAATTCTTGTGGGAAAACTTTACTATAGACACAAACCAGCTCATCTTCATTTTATCATTCGGACTTAGCCTCATGTCTTCTCACCGATAGCAAACACAACATGAACCTCTTTGTTTAACGATTATTTGAAATGTCAAAATATTAAAACTTATGTCTCATAAAACGTTTAAATCATGTTATACTTTTTTTTCCAATTATCTCACACGAATCATGATCATTTTATAAATATATTTCTAAGTACTTCAATAATGCATAAAAGAAACCACAATAAGGTTATCCAAAATATTTCATAAATCATGTTGGAATCACGGGTCAAAACGGTAGAAGGCAATCATGCTATGGGGCACCTGGCAATGTCATCTTGCAATAGGCATCATGGCTTCGAAACTAGGCCTGAAGCAACGTCAACATACAATTACTGGTTATAAATTTAATCTGTATAGGAACTTGTTAAAACTCTTAACAAGCCACACTATTTATAATTTAGAAGTAGATATAGATTACATATTTTTATTTATCAAAGTTTGTGTGCGGGCGTGTGTGTATGTTTCATTACATGCGTAAATTACTTGGTGCGGATAACGCTGTTTTCGTGTATTTATTGGGTATATATAATCTGAACAAACAAGCAAGGTTTCGTACCTGTCCAATGGAATACGCGGGCTGCTGATAATAGCTGTCACCTTTTTCTCTTGTTTCCCTGAATCCTTGGATTTTTGACGTATGCAACTCCAGACTTTTATCAACCGAAATCTCCTCAGAATTTTCAAAACAGATAACTTCTTGAGAGTTTCGTTTCCAGATGTGCTCCAGCTCAGGAAGGCGAGAGAGAGATATTCTTTTCAGATGAATGGTCTCCTTTTCCATTGATTTTCTTCCTTCATTCATATTTGGTAATTCAATCAGAGCTTCCAGTGAATCACACTCACTCACTCCAAGCTCCTCCAAGTTGGGCAGCGCTTTCAACAAATTTGGAGGCAAAAGGACTTTTGATAAAAAGTCACATTTGTGTACTATTAGACTTTTTTAAATTACCAAACATTTCATGCTTAACATCCCTGTACCAGACATCTCCTAACTCAGGATATCGAGAGAGCTCCAGACACTCGAAACTACGGAATGCCACCTGCAGTTGTTGGTGTGCATAGGGTCAGCTGAACATAAAGAATGATCATCTGTTTCTCCATGTTTGTAAAGGTTGTTTTTGTTAAACTCAAACATATCCCCAAACATTCAAAACACATTAAACAGTAATAAACTTTGGCTAAATGAGATTATTTTTAGCTGAGAAATAACTAGGTTGAGGGAATATGTAAAATTAAAAAACTACAATAATAGAATTTACTTCACATATTGGGATAGTTTCAGGTGCTCGAAACTATAAAATGCAACCTGCAAAAGTTGATGTATATATTAAGTGAAAAATAAAAGGGAATCAATGCAAACTAAACAATATAACAATCAGCTTTTCTAAATGTTTTGCAATGACGTTTTTTATCATGAGAAAAAAATGGAGTTCATGTAGAGAGAACGGTTCAATTTTCTCCATATTTCCGAGAAGCGTTTTTTTTTTTAACATCAAAACATACCATATCTCCTTGAAAGTAAATTTGCCATTATATTATTTTCAAATAGCTTTCATAATATGTGAAAAGAAACTGCGACGGGAGGACATTACATAGGAACGATATTTTGACGCTCTTCATGTTGTGATTAATTTCTGCTAAAAGGAAACAGAACATACCATATCTTGGAACATCTTGCTGACTGTTTTTGTAAGATCACCTTCCCAACACCACATTCCATCTTGTTTATCTGTCAGTATCTTTTGAAGCATTGGTGCACTTGTCTCTCTTGCAGAAAAGCTAGTCATTCTTGGACACTGCCTTATTACAAGTTGCTCCAACAATGGGAGCTTCAATAAGCAGTTACCAGAGCAAAATATCTGGAGTTTTGACAAACCTTCGAGTTCCAGAACTTCCAGGCTGTTGAAGGCGATCTCATTTATGTTATCCCCTCCTTTTTCTGCCACAATTTCCTCAACTGATATACACTCCCTTATCTTCAATGTTGCTAGCTTGACTAGACTTCTTGCTGTCGAAGAGGTAATTAAATAAATCAATCCGTTGCAATTTTGTACCTCTAAATATGTCAAGTGATAAAAGGTTACGTAAGAAGGCACCAAGTGGTTTAATTTGGAACAATGATCGACAACCAAGTGCTCAAGAACTTCAACTAGAGGGTCTATTTGGCATCCTTGTTTACATATATTCTGGAGTTCATGCAAGTCTATGAGTTCCAAATTTTTTATTCGTGTTGTGTTCTCAATTTTTCCTTCGGGATTGATAGGTACTTCTTCTGAAAATATCTCCTTGAAAGAACTCCATCCCACAGTGAGTTGCTCAAGGCTGCTCATGTTTTGAAGAAACCAATATGGGAAAGTCATTTGATCATCTGTAATCTCTTGCAGTATAAGAATTTTGAGTTTCCTGAAGTTTTCCCCAGAAAAGTGACCCTGTAATATGATGGTCAAATGCTCACTGGATAGGGCCAACTGCTCCAGGTTGCTCATCACCTATACCATATGATTGGAGCATAAAATAGAGCTTCATTATGTACTGGAAGTTAGAATATCATAGATAAAAACCTAGCATTCATTTCTTGTCCAGAGCAATGTCGAACCAGTAAATTAGTTTGATGAATTTTTAGTGATATACTCTATATATGCACAGTGGTTGTAAGTTTTTCACTAGCCAAGACTATTCGTAGCCTCGAGAAATGTAATAACACAAGCAAATTTGACAGTGTTTATACTAAAGAATTTTGTAACATGCTAGTGACAGATTATATACATAATTAAACATGATTGTTAACTTTGGATGAACATGAAGATTTTACTTGAGTTTTTTTGGATTGAGAATGAGCCATACCTCTTCGAGTGTGAAAAGAGGTTGTTGCGTTGAGACACAGAGATTACCATGAGAAAGACTTCCTTGGCTACGTGTACCTTGTGTCTTGAACAGCTTCAATTTTTTACAATTATAGACATCTAATTCTTTTAATGATGAACAAGATAAACTATGATTCCCAGCACAAAATTCCTGCAAATCATGTAAATTCCAAAGCACCATTGAGGTTAGCTGATTAAACTCAAATTTGACAAGATGATCTAAGGGTTCTTCTCTCTTGGAAACAATTTCCTTCATCTTTTCAGCACTCTTTATTGTAATTTCTTCAAGTTGATGCAGGTGCTTAGCTATGGAGAATGGAAAAAGGAACTCTAAATCTCCACAGGCTTCAACACGCACAACTTGCAGACTCTCAAAGTGAAGACTTGATTGACGATCTGTGCCCCAAATTTGTTTCAGCTTTGGCAATTGAAGCAGGGTTATATTCTTGAGCCGTGTTGTATCATCTCCACTGCACATTTCCTTGGCACCCAACTGGAAAATTTCCTGCACTGAGTTGCAGTCTTCAACCATCAACGTCTGTAGAGTTGCCAATACTCCGTTCATGTAAATTGGAAATATATGCTGAATTTTCTGACACTTTTTCACTTCCAAAGTCTCCAAGCTACCCATGGAATTCGGAGTTAGGACAGGGTGCCATATTGTTTCCAGGTTTTGCAAGTCGTCTATTATTATTGTTTCCAGTTTGGGTAGAAGTACCTGCGAATAATATATAGTCGCTATCAGAGAAGCACGTATAGTTGTCATGTTTTTATAGCAGAAATTGATTGATAGACAGTAATAATATTTCATTTCATTCTGTTGAATTTCCTCCTCTGATTTTCTTTTTAAATATTCTAAACACTAATACTACTATTTAAGGTATTAACTAACTCTCACATCAAGAGAAAAAAATATCACGAAATTCTTGTGGGAAAACTTTACTGTGGACACAAGCACAACCAGCTCGTCTTCATTTTATTATTCGGACTCAGCCTCATGTCTTCTCACCGATAGCAAACACAACATGAACCTCTGTTTAACGATTATTTGGAATTTCAAAATATTAAAACTTATGTATAACCTATTAAATTAAAAGAAATATCTAATTTATATGTCTCATAAAACATTTAAATCATGTTTATACTTTTTTTTCCCAATTATCTCACACGAATCATGATCATTTTATAAATATATTTCTAAGTACTTCAATAATGCATAAAAGAAACCACAATAAGGTTATCCAAAATATTTCATAAATCATGTTGTGAATCACGGGTCAAAACGGTAGGAAGAGCAATGTCATGCAATGGGCATCATGGCTTCGAAACTAGGCCGTGAAGGCAACGTCAACATACAATTACTGGTTATAAATTATAATCTGTATATGACCTGTTAAAACTCTTAACAAGCCACACTATTTATAATTTAGAAGTAGATATAGATTACATATTTTTATTTATCAAAGTTTGTGTGCGGGCGTGTGTGTATGTTTCATTACATGCGTAAATTACTTGGTGCGGATAACGCTGTTTTCGTGTATTTATTGGGTATATATAATCTGAACAAACAAGCAAGGTTTCGTACCTGTCCAATGGAATACGCGGGCTGCTGATAATAGCTGTCACCTTTTTCTCTTGTTTCCCTGAATCCTTGGATTTTTGACGTATGCAACTCCAGACTTTTATCAACCGAAATCTCCTCAGAATTTTCAAAACAGATAACTTCTTGAGAGTTTCGTTTCCAGATGTGCTCCAGCTCAGGAAGGCGAGAGAGAGATATTCTTTTCAGATGAATGGTCTCCTTTTCCATTGATTTTCTTCCTTCATTCATATTTGGTAATTCAATCAGAGCTTCCAGTGAATCACACTCACTCACTCCAAGCTCCTCCAAGTTGGGCAGCGCTTTCAACAAATTTGGAGGCAAAAGGACTTTTGATAAAAAGTCACATTTGTGTACTATTAGACTTTTTAAATTACCAAACATTTCATGCTTAACATCCCTGTACCAGACATCTCCTAACTCAGGATATCGAGAGAGCTCCAGACACTCGAAACTACGGAATGCCACCTGCAGTTGTTGGTGTGCATAGGGTCAGCTGAACATAAAGAATGATCATCTGTTTCTCCATGTTTGTAAAGGTTGTTTTTGTTAAACTCAAACATATCCCCAAACATTCAAAACACATTAAACAGTAATAAACTTTGGCTAAATGAGATTATTTTTAGCTGAGAAATAACTAGGTTGAGGGAATATGTAAAATTAAAAAACTACAATAATAGAATTTACTTCACATATTGGGATAGTTTCAGGTGCTCGAAACTATAAAATGCAACCTGCAAAAGTTGATGTATATATTAAGTGAAAAATAAAAGGGAATCAATGCAAACTAAACAATATAACAATCAGCTTTTCTAAATGTTTTGCAATGACGTTTTTTATCATGAGAAAAAAATGGAGTTCATGTAGAGAGAACGGTTCAATTTTCTCCATATTTCCGAGAAGCGTTTTTTTTTTTAACATCAAAACATACCATATCTCCTTGAAAGTAAATTTGCCATTATATTATTTTCAAATAGCTTTCATAATATGTGAAAAGAAACTGCGACGGGAGGACATTACATAGGAACGATATTTTGACGCTCTTCATGTTGTGATTAATTTCTGCTAAAAGGAAACAGAACATACCATATCTTGGAACATCTTGCTGACTGTTTTTGTAAGATCACCTTCCCAACACCACATTCCATCTTGTTTATCTGTCAGTATCTTTTGAAGCATTGGTGCACTTGTCTCTCTTGCAGAAAAGCTAGTCATTCTTGGACACTGCCTTATTACAAGTTGCTCCAACAATGGGAGCTTCAATAAGCAGTTACCAGAGCAAAATATCTGGAGTTTTGACAAACCTTCGAGTTCCAGAACTTCCAGGCTGTTGAAGGCGATCTCATTTATGTTATCCCCTCCTTTTTCTGCCACAATTTCCTCAACTGATATACACTCCCTTATCTTCAATGTTGCTAGCTTGACTAGACTTCTTGCTGTCGAAGAGGTAATTAAATAAATCAATCCGTTGCAATTTGTACCTCTAAATATGTCAAGTGATAAAAGGTTACGTAAGAAGGCACCAAGTGGTTTAATTTGGAACAATGATCTACAACCAAGTGCTCAAGAACTTCAACTAGAGGGTCTATTTGGCATCCTTGTTTACATATATTCTGGAGTTCATGCAAGTGTCCGAGTCTCAATGTTTTTATTCGTGTTGTGTTCTCAATTCCTCCTCCCGGATTGATAATTACTTCTTCTGAAAATATCTCCTTGAAAGAACTGCATGCCACAGTGAGCTGCTCAAGGCTGCTCATGTTTTGAAGAAACCAATATGGGAAAGTCATTTCATCATCTCCAATCTCTAGCAATGCAAGAATTTTGAGTTTCCTGAAGTTTTCCCCAGAAAAGTGGCCCTGTAATATGATGGTCAAATGCTCACTGGATAGGGCCAACTGCTCCAGGTTGCTCATCACCTATACCATATGATTGGAGCATAAAATAGAGCTTCATTATGTACTGGAAGTTAGAATATCATAGATAAAAACCTAGCATTCATTTCTTGTCCAGAGCAATGTCGAACCAGTAAGTTAGTTTGATGAATTTTTAGTGATATACTCTATATATGCACAGTGGTTGTAAGTTTTTCACTAGCCAAGACTATTCATAGCCTCGAGAAATGTAATAACACAAGCAAATTTGACAGTGTTTATACTAAAGAATTTTGTAACATGCTAGTGACAGATTATATACATAATTAAACATGATTGTTAACTTTGGATGAACATGAAGATTTTACTTGAGTTGTTTTGGATTGAGAATGAGCCATACCTCTTCGAGTGTGAAAAGAGGTTGTTGCGTTGAGACACAGAGATTACCATGAGAAAGACTTCCTTGGCTACATGTACCTTGTGTCTTGAACAGCTTCAATTTTTTACAATAATAGACCTCTAATTCTTTTAATGATGAACAAGATAAACTATGATTTCCAGCACAAAATTCCTGCAAATCATGTAAATTCCAAAGCACCATTGAGGTTAGCTGATTAAACTCAAATTTGACAAGATGATCTAAGGGTTCTTCTCTCTTGGAAACAATTTCCTTCATCTTTTCAGCACTCTTTATTGTAATTTTTTCAAGTTGATGCAGGTGCTTAGCTATGGAGAATGGAAAAAGGAACTCTAAATCTCCACAGTCTTCAACACGCACAACTTGCAGACTCTCAAAGTGAAGACTTGATTGACGATCTGTGCCCCAAATTTGTTTCAGCTTTGGCAATCGAAGCAGGGTTATATTCTTGAGCCGTGTTGTATCATCTCCACTGCACATTTCCTTGGCACCCAACTGGAAAATTTCCTGCACTGAGTTGCAGTCTTCAACCATCAACGTCTGTAGAGTTGCAAATACTCCGTTCATGTAAATTGGAAATATATGCTGAATTTTTTGACACTTTTTCACTTCCAATGTCTCCAAGCTACCCATGGAATTCGGAGTTAGGACAGGGTGCCATATTGTTTCCAAGTTTTGCAAGTCTTCTATTATTATTGTTTCCAGTGTGGGTAGAACTACCTGCGATCAACTCAATAGTTGCACTGTTAGTTATAAACTATACTTGGGATAAGTTTGACAAAAACAAATGCATAATTTGAGTAAACTCTGTTTCTGGCAAAATAACAAGTAAACTATGTTTCTGGCACAATTTGAGATAAAAACAAATGCATAACGAAGCCCACGCCACGTACTTCGACCAGTTTTCAAAAATTGAAGGCATACAGATTTGGTCAGTGATTAATTTCGGCGTACATGCCTCCGTGTTAATGAAGAAAATCGTAGTTGTTATCTGGGAAACATGTTTAGTTGTCATGTTTTTATAATAGAAATTGTTTGATTGATTGACTGTAATAACATACGCAATTACATTTTTTTTTCTGTCTCTATTAGTAATTTTAATTTCACTTCATTTTGTTGGATTTACTCCTCTAATTTTTTAAATATTTTTTGAAGTTTTTTTTAAATATTCTAAACACCAATAATATTTAGGCTACTAAAAGACTCTTGCATTAGAAAAAACAAAATACACAACCAGCTCATCTTCATTTTGCCTCATGTCTTCTCACCGATAGCAAACATGACAACATGATTTATGAACCTTCGTCTAGCGGTTGTTTAAAATTTCAAAATATTAAAATTTATATACAAGGTATTTAATTAAAAGAAATATAAAATTTATACGTCTCGTAAAACATTTGAATAATATTTTTACTTTTTTCCCCCAAATATCTCATAAGTATTAAAATCATTTTCTAAATATATATTTCCCAGCACTCCAATGCCGCATAAAACAAAAAACACAAGGCTTTGCATAGCGTTCATAAATCATGCTGTGAAGCACAAGTGTAAGAAGAGCAAGGCTATGCAATGGGCATCGTGGCTTCTAAACAGGGCTATGAATGCAGCGCCACCATAGAATTATTTGTTCTAAATTATAACCTATATATAATCTAATAAACTCTCAACAAATCACACTGTGAGGAAAAGTATAGATAGATTACAGATTTTTATTTACCAAATTGTGTGCGTGTGTTTCATATTACATGCGCACATAACTTGGTGCAAATAACGCTATTTTTTTGCCAACTAGCTTTAAAAGCTGTTTCAATTTATTCAAGATTCAACTGTGAAAGGACTCTACAATATTATTCTCGAGAGCTTATTGACTTCTTAAACATAATTTAATTAGCAGAGAAAAATGTGACTAAATAAATAAAATTGTTGTTCCTTGGATTTTTTTCTACTTTTATGTGTACAAAATTATTTTAAGTATATTTCCACAACTCTATACGAGTGTTTAGATGAATTATATAGTTTGCTGGCTTGCCACATTTTTTCTCATGTAAAGATTGGTTTCCCGTTGGTGAATAACAATCCAGTATTTTTTTCACGTTAACTATAATTACACACTTTGGTTATAATCATCCAAAACTAAACAGAAAAGCTGAACTTTCAAGAATTTATAGTTGAGATATGATTTCAAGAACAAACAGAATATCTTGCACCTTTTGATAGCATAAGAAACAAAACAAGAGAAAAACCATAGCATCTTTATCTTACTTTATGAAAGAAACTAAAGCATACCTTAGCAAGAAAAGACAGAGGCTGTTGATATTGGACTTGAACTTCATCCTCTTCCCTTTTCCCTCCGAGACTTGGTTTCCATATGTATTGGAGTTTAGGCAGATTAGATAGGCAGATTTTTCGCAGATGACTCGCCGCTTTCTCTGATATTGCCCCTTCTTTTGCCACATCAAATTCAAGCACAACTTCTAGTGAATCACAGTCTTTTACGCGAATTTCTTCCAAGTTCCCCAAGGCTCGCAGCAAATTCGACGGAACAAGAACATCTGATAAAAAGTCACAATGTTCGACCACCAGAGATTTCAAATTACAGAATATTTTATTCTCAATGGGACTGCTCCAAGAGTCTCTTAGCTCAGGATACAAGGATAAATCGAGATGCTCCATATCACGGAATGCAATCTGCACGAAAAGAAATTTCCAATGTTAGTTACAACAGAATGGCAATGAAGAACTGTTAAACAACAGACCGAAAAGAAACATACCTTATTCCCATGGACCATTTTTATTGTCCTGTTCAAATCACTTTCCCAGTACCATTCTTCGTCTTTCCCCTCTTTTGTTCTTACCTTTCTAAGCATTGGCGTGCTTGTTGCTCTTTCACAGAAGGTTTTCATCCTTGGACATTGCCTCACAACAACTTTCTTCAACAGTGGGAACCTGAAGGAGCATTGACTGCTAGATGAGAAACTATTGAGCCTTGGCAAGCTTTCCAATGCTATAGTTCTCAAACTTCTGAATACAATTTCATCTCTTTCCTCGTTCATCCCATGCGTCACTATTTCTTCAAGTGAATTGCATTCTTCTAATTTTATGCCTTGAAGATTGACCAAACTTGCTGCAGTTGATGAGTAAATTAAGCTTATCAATCCATTACACTTTTGAATCACCAAATATGTCAGGTGGGAAAAAGTGACGGAGGAAGGAACCAAAGTTTTCAAATGGGCACATTCTGTCACATATAAAACTTCAAGAACCTCAAGAATTGGGTCGATCTTGCATCTTTCTCTACATATGTGTTCCAATTGTAGATTATACAGAGTTAAAACTTCAAGCTGGGTCTTGATTTCATTTTTGCCTTCCTCATATGCAACTCTTTTGTGTTGGAATATCTCTTTCAAGGAACCATGTTCGACAGCTAGAGCTTTCAAGTTTGGTGCCTTTTGCGCAATTGAGTCCAGAAAAGTTACTGCTGTTTTGTCGTCAAAATAGGACATTCGAAGAGTCTTCAGTTTACTCAAATAACGGTCCTTCCATTGTGGGTCTTCCAACATCATTATGGCCTCCTTGTTATTTACTTCCCATACTTCCAACTTCGGAATCACCTGAAACATAACATACAGCTTCATTATTTTCTCCTACATATAATAACAATACGAGACGTTTACTCACCAAAAGAATACAATAAGAAATATTTCCCCATAAGCAAAGAGGCGCATAGGCATATTTGGGTATGTCACTGAAAAGCAAAAAGCTTCACGTAAAAGTCCGTGCATTTTTCCTTTTTTCATTTAATTATCTTCTGAAACATATTAATATAGTTTTTGCTTACCTTCAAACCATACGATATATATTTTCCATAAGAAATATATTAGAAAGTTGACATACGAACAAGTAGAAAGGAAAAGCTACTACTTTATAACAAGTTAGATATATATTTCTGAGATGAATAAACATCTGATGACCATACCTCTTCAATCAAGAAGAGAGGATCTTCCATAGAGGGATGCGGATTTCGGTCATCACCACTCTTGCTATGGTTTCTTGTACTCTGTCTCCCTAATAACCTCAATTTCGGACAGTTGAAGACCCATAGCATTCTCAATGATGGGCACGTTAAACTGTGACTTCCACTATAAAACCTGTCAAGTCGATGCATGTTCGAAATCTCCAAGGAGTTTAACCGATCAAAGTGAAATGTGGCTATTTCCTCTTTCTTCGCTACAATTTCATTCATTCCACAAGAGTCCATTGTGAGTGTTTCGAGTTGATGAAGATCAAGGGCGACTGAAAGTGGGAAGAGATAGTCTAAGTTTTCACATTCTTCAACATGGACATATTGGAGATTGTGAAAGCGGAAATTTCCTTGGGGGTCCTTATTCCATATTTGTTTCAACTTGGGCAAGCGAAGCAGATGCAGTTTCTTCAATTGTGTGGCCTCTTCACCAATGATTTCATTGTTCGGTAATTTGAATATCTCTTTCACTGAACCGCAATCACTGATCTTCAATGTCTCCATTCTTCCAAATGTTGTGTGCATATCAGATGGGAAAATATGCTCAAGTTTCTCACAATTATTCACCTCCATAGTCTTCAACCCTTCAAATTGGGAGTACCATACTTTCCTTAACCTTTTCATGTTGCTTATTACGACAGTCTCCAACTTTGGAAACCCAACCTGTGATCATACGCAATTTGTAAGTCCATATAATAAACGATGGCAGCTACACAAGAGCAAATATTTGATGTTTAATGACTTAGCACTTAATTAAATATGATATAAAATGCTGAAATCGTATAAGTTATAACCTCTTCAATTGCAGCACTATTTCTCCCCTCTGTACCAATTATCTCCTCCATCATCTCACACTCTCTTATTTGAAGGTCCTTAAGATTTGGAAAACTTCCAACCATAGAAGAAGAGAATAAATACTTCAAGGCATTACACTCCTCCACACTCAGATTAGCCAACATGTGAAAACAATTGGCTACAGAAAGGCGATCATCCTGCCAAATATTTTCTACATGGATTGAACTCAACTTTAGAGTCTCCAAATTAGAAAACTTCACCTGTAGAAAAAATATTTTATTCTTATTGTGGAAAATGAATAAATGACTGAATTGTATGATCATGACGACAATATTGAGAATTAATCAAATTAACTAAATAATGATGATGTCATTAATTTTATTTGGCCCAAAATCTGATGTCATGCTCGTATAATAAGCTAGTGCTTAAAAATGTTTGTTGCTTGAAAATTTATATATTACATCTCATGAGTCATTCTATGAAAATTAAATGATTAAATTATGACTTAGCAGCTGCAAAAGTTATCAATCGTTTGATATTATAATGCACCATGTATTCATTTTCATTTAACACTTACAACCATGATGAAAGTGGTTTTGAATTTCATTTCTTTTTAATTGCCAACAGTTTTCAATTTCATAACCATGGTACAAGTATGAAAAAACACCAAAATAATAATGAGAACAGTGGAAATGTTGTTGGCAAAAAAAGTGAAAATGTTGAAAATTTCGATCATACAGCGGATAATGTTTTAGTTAGAACAAATCGATCCCGTAGTCGAACAACATCATGCACATATATGGTCAAACTTAAAAATCATTTTCATTATTATTTATAATATTATCTTATTATTTTAAAAATGTATGTACTCACAGTGGAGAAAATACAATATAAGAATAAAACAATTACCTTCGCACTGAAAAAAGATGATGGAACGTTAGTTTGGAGTGACAAACTCTGCTTGGTTGTTGAAGACGTCAGCAAACCAGAATAGAAATCCTCAATCCCTGGCAAATATCGTAGGATCAAGGATCTCAAAGAATAGAACTCAATATTGTCATCAGAGTTTGGAAAAGAGTTTTCTCCAAATACAATCTTTTTCATAGAACTGCATTCTGAAACTTCAATCTCAACAAGTTGGCAAAGAGCTTTGACCATCAACACTGAGAAAATATACTTCAACTGATCACAACATTTGACTTTGATGGATCTAAGTTGTGCAAATGAATTATTCATAAACGAGCCATGACATATCTTCTCCAATTTATTGAGATTTTGGAGTACTAATGTTTCCAATTTTGGAAAGAAAACATGACTAATTAATTTTCTCTCCATTGAGTTGATGATGTGTTGAATTTCCCCATTATTTTGGATGTGAAGGTGCTTTAACAAAGGAAATCCTTCTCCATTCAAATTGTAAAGCACACTGGAGATTCCATTCACTTCATCCAAGGACAAATCCTCTACTCCTTTAATAAGTTCTTTAATCCCATGCTCCAAATGAATGACAGAATCAAGCTTGACCTTCAATATTTTGGATGCCCCATAATTATTAGACCATTCCCAGATATCTCCTATCACTATTTTGTATCTTTCCAGTTTGTCAAACATTAGGTCCCTTAGTAGAATCCAAGCCCCTTTGATTTGAATTTCTAAAGCAGTCAAGTTTGTCAAATGCCTAAGTTCAATAAGGGAAGCATTTTTAATTTCCTCATTTGAATCTTCTTGGTCCCACTTGATGGAGGTATTGCCCAAATACAACTCTCTAATTGGTCAATTTTGATATAATGTTAGAAGGAAAGATTTCAATTCCAGAATTGGTCAAATTCAACATTCTAAGATGAGTCAATTGCCCTAGTTCACTAGGCAACGTTATCATTGAAGATCCATAAAAGCTGAGAATTTGCAAATTCTTTAAAGCTTTAATATTGGTCATGTCTCCCAAAGCACATTGATCCAAACAAAGTGTTTGAAGTTCACTCAGATAATGAAAAGATTGAGGCAACGAAGGTAAGTATATGCAAGCCAAATATAACACTTTAAGGCTTTTCATTCCCTCAAAGAAAGATTCTGGGACACTTAAAGATTCATTCTTATTAGACAAACAAAAAAGTTTAATATTAGGACATTCTAACCTTTCAGGAAGCTTAGGAATGTCACACCGTTTTAAGATGATTTGAGTGCATCTTTGAAGGAATTCCTCTGATGGCCATTTATTTAACTCATCACCCCTTCCCATTTTGAAAACATGTTGATCTCTTGAAGCAATTGAGACTGCCACGTCATGTACAACGTCATGCATTTTAACTCTCTCGTTTGAGTTGTCTTCGAGCAATAGACAAGATGCCTGTAAAGAACCAATTAAGCTATGAAGTTTAAGCCTTGCATGTTTTGGAGGATAAGTTTGCTTGAATATGCCTAAACCTATAGCAAATTTCAACAAGTATTTAACAGAAATTTTTGGACCTACTGCTCCACAAAGCAAGAAAAGTGCCTTCACATCATCACCCTCTAGATGATTGTAACTGAACTCCAAAGTTAAATAAATTTTCTCCTTCATTCCTTCCTTATCAACAATCTTTAACTGGTTTAAGGCATCTTTCCAAGAATCAATATTATCTTTATTTTTTAGTGCTCTTGCCACTGTCACAAGAAGAACAATCAAGCCCCCACATTTTCGAGCTATTTTGATTGCCACGTCATGCAAATGAACATCTTTAACAACATCGCCCACCATATCTTTAAACAAGTTCCAAGCTTCTTCTTCATTTAAAACATCTATCTTGAAATCTTTCTGAGTCTCCAATTTTTGTAATATCTCTAGATTCCTAGAAGTCAATAATAACTTGCAACCCTTATGATCATTCGAAGGAATTCCAAGCTTTTTAAATTCAAGTACATCCCAAATATCATCTAATATGACCAGGATACTTTTCTCTTCTCAATTCTCTTCTGAGGCGTAATGCTCTTCCAGGTGTGCTCCTCTCCACAAAGTCAAGACCCAAAAGATCTGCTATTTCATGTTGAATTCTTTCAAGATCTGGAGCTTGGGATATATTAGCCATAACAACTTGAACAAACAACTCGTCATCTTTAACCTGTTTGGCAATTTCTTCAACTAGAGTGGTTTTCCCCACTCCGCCAAGCCCATAGACCCCAATCCGGCTTAAGTTTGGGTCTTTTAGGGCCAATATAATTTCCTCCTTCATTTTCTTTCTTGACCCAAGCTTTTCACTGCTTGTAGCAGAAGTGAAGCCTACTCCCTCTAGAGCAGGCAAGAATGCAAGTGGATAAATGCCATCTTTCTCTTGCTTTACTTCAGCAACAGTTATAGCCTTTTTCTTTGCTTCTCTACTGAGTTGGTGCCGTGACTTCAAATCAGGGAAAGGCCCCTCGCAGCAACCAGCATGCCTATGACGAGGATCATCACCAAGTTTCTCTGCCGCTTCTATGATTTCATCCACTCTGTTCAGCCAGTTTTGTGCAGCATCATAAATTTGGCGTCCATTTCTTCTTTCTGCCTCCACTTCATTACTTATAGTTTCCTTCTCTCTCTTCAGCTCGTCAACTTGATCCTTCAGATTCTTGAAATTGCCTTTGTAGAAAATCAAATAACCCAATTGCCTTCCAATGGGTGCCACAGTGTATTCTACTATCGGTTCTAAAAATTTTCCAGCAATGGTCGTGACAATATCCATTCTTGTTTCCCGATTTAGCTGCATAACAACTCAAACATAAGATCAACTGATAATATAAAGAACAGCTGATAAGAGAAAAGTTGGCACCAATACTAATGTCCATTTACATTCATACAATGTGTAAGATATCATAACTTTTTAAAATTATAATTACTAATAATATACGTGTATTGTCTCACCAAACCGAAAATGCATTCTAAAATTATCTTTTCTAATACTATGTTTTTTATATTATACATAATTAAGATTAAGATTATTTTTTGTGTTTGAATGAACTTTTAAATTAAAATATCTTTCATCGTTGCAGAAAAATTTTAAACAGTTAAAGTGAAGAAGCAGAATAAGTTAGTAAAAATTGTCAGCATAAAAAACTTCCCTTCAATGTAACAGATAAAAATTATGAGATAATCCTTAAAAAAAAAAATCAGATCAATTAGCGCATTAATGAATTTTTGCCCCAAAAAAATCGAATTTTTTTTGCCATAAAAAATCAACCTTGTGCCGACTTATCGTGAACAAATTGAAAATAAAATTAGTGAGAACAACGAAAATCGCTTGTAAAAAAAAAAAAAACCTGGTTATATATCCGAAACTTCTAAAGTGCACACTTAGATTTTCATATATGATTGTTCCCAACAAAAGTAACGGTATATGCAGAAGAATAGTAGCAAGAGGAGGAATATTTAAACCATCTTCTTTTTAAAAAAAATTAATTCAGATCTAAAGACTTGTGCAGGCGGTACAAAACCTTTCAAGGAAAAAAAATAGACTTTTTTTTTTTGCAAGATTGACGACAAAAGAATTTTTTTAAAAACTTTTTCCCCTAATTTTTAAATATTTTTATGATTGAAAGCCACCAGTTGATCCAGAAGAAAATGAACAAGAGAGATATGCACACGAAAAATTAAACACAAACCCCCTTTTTTTTGTTTGTGTGGGGTTAGGAGGTTTAAAAACTAGTTTGTAGAAGGAAAATAGAAAATAATATAAGTGATTTCTGCATAAACCAGAGAGAGAAAGTAAGTAAAAAAAGAAACATTATTGTTCATAAATTGTTCATAACAATTCAAGTCCAAAATATCTAAATGTAACCATCAAAGAAAAAGATTTTACCTGTATTACTTTATGATCAGCATTCTACATATTACACACAGACACAAATATAAAATTAAGATTATTAGTTTTTGATTGAATAAAATTTTAAATTAAAATATCTTTCAGAGTTGGAAAAATTAAGATTATTAGTTTTTAACTGTAATTACTCGTAAATATGGCTCTCAGGACCTTGAATTGAACAAGGTACTACTTTGTGATAGCGAATAGTTCTTCACATAAGGTTCTACTTTTCAAATGCCATTCGACTTGCAACGGTGTCTCCTGATGTTCATCGGAGATATTCCAACTCGGCCCCAGGGCCATCCCAGCCAATTGGAGTGTTTTATTCTTCTTCTTTTATTGTGTCGTTGAGCTGAAGCTCCGTGTGTTGGGGAGGCGAGAGCAGCGCAAGGGAAGGACTAAGGGTAGACTGGGAATTTTGAAAATAAATACGAGTGTACTAGACATTGGACAATACAAGCTCAAATATTATTCCTCCCCCACCAAATTACCCAATTTTGAAAGGAAGGGTTAGGAGGAGAGGGTAGAGAAAAGTTTCTCTCCCCTCTTGGAAATTTTCAAAAGCCAAACAAAGGTACGAAGCAAAATCCCTCCTCTTCATTTCCCCTCCTAAATAGACCCTAATATATTAATTTTATTATAATTTAACTTTTTATATTATTCATAGTAAACTACTATGTGACGCGTACCCAGGCAAAAGTGGGCAAAAAGATACTTTTCATCAGTTTATTTAAAAAAAAAAAAAAGATAAGAAAGACAATGTTCATATTAGCAATTTACAACACTTTTTTTTTTTTGACGAATTCCATATATTAATATAAAATGCCATATTTCAGGAAATTTATTACACTTGAAGCGAGTTTCACCAGTGGTTTACAACATTCTTTTGTATGAATCTCACACTTAGGAAGATCAGTGTAAAATGCTTTGTATCATCCTTTTACACTTATGATTTGATTTGAATGATATAAATTTCATATTTCTATTGTTTTATTTTTTAAAAAAAAAAGCATGGAATGAAAATAATCTCTCAATGTTAAGCTTTGAAAAATGACGATTCATTATTAAGAATATTAAATTTAAAAAAATTAAAAATATCAGATCTTAGCAGTCCGTAAACAGTATTCCAAGAGAATCAAATCGGAAAGTTACCTTGCTCAATGTGAATAAGAAGTTGACCTCCTTGAGCTTGAGAGGTGATAGACAGCAACTAAAGTTCTGCAGTTGAAAACTAGGGAAAGAAGGAATTAGGCATGATTTGATTTGAATGACATAAATGTCATATTGTTATTGTTTTATTTTTAAAAAAGTATACATGAAATGAAACTAATACATAAATGGCCAACTTTGAAAAAATGATGATTCATTAGTAAAAATATTAAATTTAAACCATTCAAAAAGATTTGACCTTTTTCCCTCAAACGGATTAAAAAGGAAAAAAAAAGATCTTGATCATTTTTAATCCGAGGACAATTTTATTCAAAAAAAGTAAAATGATTAAAATAAAAAAAACCAGCGGCATGCGGTTTTTTTTTCTGGGCTTTACATCCACGTATTTTCTTGTAATATTATGATCATGATTTTATAAGACATTAAATCTCAACTATTTTATAATTAATATGAGGATTTAAACCATTTTTTTATACTATCTTGAAATATGAATATAAATATAAACATAACATGGGATAAGATGTGGAGAAAGGAGGAAAAAAAGATGAGTAAAGGATCCAAGTTTTTGCCTAATTCTACTATAATCTATAATTTAATGTAAATTTATACTTAAATGTTTAAAATAATAAAAACTGATAAAAGCATGTAAAAGTTTTTAAATAAAATTTTAAAAAATTATTTCATTAACTGAAAGAAAATAAATTTTCAAATAAGGAAATTATTAATTTTTATACATTAATTGCTAACGTAATATTTATATGTTAAATTATTAATTAATATATTCGATAAGTATAAATAAAAATTAGTATTATATTTTATAATTTAATATATATTGAAATGAATGTAATTGTATATACGTTGATATTTATATATTAATATTATATGTATTTACATTATGTGTGTTAAAATATTTTATATATCTTTTCTTTGCCAACTTTGTATGTCATAATTAATATATATGATATATGTGTTCGTTTTGCATATATATGCATATAAATGTAATTTTCTATTAAAAGATTGCATTCCAACTCACACCGCAGCAAGGCTTTGCATGCGAGAGAGAAGATCCAGAGCACTCATGGGGAGAAAATATTGGTAGGTGATGTGGCACAATAAGACATTGACACATGGCAATTGATGAGGCAGTGACAGCGGCAGGCTACGTGACGACGTTGGGATGGCTAGCCTACTGATGAGAATTAGTAACGCTGAAAGCCGGTTTTTTAAGTTTTATCCTTATTTAGTATACTTTATATCTTATAATAATAAAATCAAACACAATAATAAATAAAAATAAAATTATATATACATATAAAAAATTTAATAATATGATTTACAAATATTACTAAAAAATTTCCTTCTCTTAGATCCAAAGGAGTATTTGTTTATTGTCATGCAACTCTATTTCGGCTTGTGTTGTAAGCTTTTTTTTAATGATTTAATGAATTGAGAGTTCCATTTCCTTCAATGGCCATTAGGGGTGCTTACAAGACGAGATGTGATTGGGATATCTTGGGATATCTCCATGCCGCGTCCAGTCCCGAAAAATAAGGCGGGATGCCATTTGTGTTCGGCATCCCATCCCGTTCTGATTTTGTTCTAATCACGACTAGGATGGGACGGGAATGTCCCAATCAACCACTTTAAAAGAAAACAAAAAACAAAAAGCCTAGTTATAATTTAGTTCAAAAGAAAAAGGCTCAATCACAACCTATGCTTAAAAGAAAAAAAGAACCTAAAAGCTGAAGCAAATTTGTGTGAAACAACTATAGATAAATATAAATGAGCAATTTAAAATAAACTTGAGACAAATGTAAATCAGTTAAATAAACAGTGAGTTGCTGGAAAAAACTGAACAATAAACTTGAAATAAATATAAATAAACATAAAATGAACTACTAGTATATAAATAAATTTAGTGTACAATAAATATCCTTTAAATTTAAATAGATGAGCTTGCAAATTTATTCAAACACATTAATCTTTCAAAATCAGTGACATAAATCATTGCACATAATAATCTGAATTAATCCATAAACATGACACAAATTCATTAAAGAAAAGACCAAAACATCTTTGAAATCTTAATATGTGGTGATACTAACATTAAGTGAAGACTTATTTAAAATTTAGTCAAAATATAAAAACATAGTCTATAATAACTCTCACTTAAGCTTTTTGAAATTAAAAAAAATAAAAATTTTGTAAAAACAAAGAAAAAAGCAACCCATAAACTAAATTCTAGTTCAAATTCAAACACACACACCAATATCAAAATAATTAAAATTGAAGGGTGTAAACAAAGAAAATAATGAAAAAATGTTTGAAAAAAAGGAGGGTTGTGACCGAGACAAGACAGGACGGGACATCCCAAGGGTCATCCCGAGTCCTGTCCTGGTCCTAGTATTGTCCCAGGTACGTCCTGTCCCGAAATGATTGGGACATGTACAAAATTGAGCACCTCTAATCACTATATAATAGCATTCAAAATTTAGGAGGGTCCTCAGCAGTTGGTTATTTAGAACATTAAGAAAATTGGGTCCTATTCTCTCTCTTGGACATAAGAGTTAATTAATTAATTCATCAATATTAAGAAAAATGGGTCTCATAGAAGTAAGCTCCTTTCCCATCATTATCATGCGATGTGATGCATATTTTAGTTTGCAGATAAGGGTTAGAAACAGGCTTGGCCAGATCAGGTCAAACTTGTTTAGTAATAAGCTAGCTTAAGCCTGACCTATGACCTATGATAGACTCTTTTCTTTTTTTTTCCAGCCTGAGCCCAACCTATTAAAAACCTTTAATTTTAAATTTTCAAAATACATAATAAAAAATACATAGAAGTAAAATATATATACCACAAACTAATTATTTTTTATTATTATATTTTATTTAAATATTAATGTCATAAGTAATATTTTAAATTTAATTACAATTAATATTATTGAAACAAATTATAATTATATATTAAAATTTGAAATAACCCTGCACATAAAAATAAAATTAAAATTAAGATAAATAAATAGGTCATATTTAAGTAATTCCCAAAAAACCTACGCTTAGCCTACTAGGCTAAAGAACAACAATATCCAAAATGCCAAGGCTTGGCCTAAGACTAGATACAAATTTTCCGTGACAATATCCATTTTTGTTTCCCGATTTAGCTGCCTAGCAACTCAAATATAAGATTAACTGATAATATAAAGAACAGCAATTGGTATGGCACCAATACTAATGCCCATTTACATCCATACAATGTGTAATAGCCCGTTTGGCTCATAGAATTTGTAGGAATGTAATGTAAATAATACACGTGTATTGTCTCACCAAACCGAAAATGCATGTCGTTTTTTCTAATACTATGTTTTTTATAGTATATATAATTAAGATTAAGATTATTATTTTCTGTTTGAATGAACTTTTAAATTAAAATATCTTTCATTGTTGCAGAAAAATTTTAAACAGTTAAAGTGAAGAAGCAGAATAAGTGAGTACAAATTGTCAGCATAAAAAACTTCCCTTCAGTGTAACAGACAAAAATTGTGAGATAATCCAAAAAAAATTCAGAACAATTAGTGTACTAATGGATTTTTGCCCCGGAAAAATCAACCTTTTTTTTCCTCCATAAAAAATCAACCATGCGCCTACTTATCGGGAACAAATTGAAAATAAAATTAGTGAGAATGACGAAAAACGCTTGTAAAAAAGAAAAAAAAAACTGGTTATATATCCGAAACTTCTAAAGTGCACAGTTCTTAGATTTTCATATATGATTGTTCTCAACAAAGGTAACGGTATATGCAGAAGAATAGTAGCAAGAGGAGGAATATTTAAACCATCTTTTTTTTTTCTTTTTAAAATTTAGTTCAGATCTAAAGACTTATGCAGGCAGTACAAAACCTTTCAAAAAAAATAGAATTTTTTTTAGAAGATTGACAGCACAAGATTTTTTTTAAAAAACTTTTTCCCCTAATTTTTAAATATTTTTATGATTGAAAGCCACCAGTTGATCCAGAAGAAAATGAACAAGAGAGATATGCACACGAAAAATTAAACACAAACCCCCTTTTTCTTTTGTTTTTGTGGGGTTAGGAGGTTTAAAAACTAGTTTGTAGAAGGAAAATAGAAAATAATATAAGTGAATTTCTGCATAAACCAGAGAGAGAAAGTAAGTAAAAAAAGAAACATATTATTGTTCATAAATTGTTCATAACAATTCAAGTCCAGAGTATCTAAATGTAACCATCAAGAAAAAGATTTTACCTGTATTACTCTATGATCAGCACCACTCTCTTGCGTCCCTAATAAAGCACAGATGAAGATGCCACCAAAATTTGTTCTAAATTGGACACTTCTTCTTCTTCGACTTTTTCCGCCCGCAACAAAAGCAGCAGTGTGTGCAGAAGAATAGTAGCGAGAAAAGAAATCTTCAAACCAGCTTTTTTCTTTTTTTCTTTTTTCTGTTCGTAAAATTTAGTTCACATCTGGGGATTCAAAATCTAGTAAAGAAGAGTTTTTTTTTTTTTTTTAACCTGGCAAGATTGACAAGAAAGTAACCAACTTGATCGATGCAAAAGAAGAGTGACGGCTAACGAGATTTAAAGCGAAAACACCACCATTTTTTTTTTCTTTTTGAACGAGTTTATATTGAAAAGATAAGCAGTAAATGGAAAGAACTTTTTTTTTTTATCCCAAAGGATTATGGTTGACAAGAACGCAACAAACTGTTTTTTTTTTTTTTTACCAAAACGCAACAAACTTAATGCAAAAGAAGAATAACTTTTTTTTTTTTTAAAGGCAACGTATGTCTGGAAATAACCAGAACAAAGTCGATCAGAAAATTAAGAACAAGGAAACAAACATAGTAAACATAAAAACTGGCAATATTTTAGGAAATGAGAAGCTTGGGTTGAATTGATCTGGTCAGCAAGTTGAAGGAAACTGCCAAAGAAAGTGGAAGAACACGGAGTGGTGATGAAGAGTTTGAGAGGAATCAGAAACACCAAGAACACGAAGAAGAAGAAGAAACAGTGAAGTAAGCTTGATGCGAGTACCGACAAGAAGGAGGTGAACAAACAGAGAGTGAGGATTGAAATTGCGTGCAACTTGAAGAAGAGAGAGTTGTAAGCTGGGGAATGCGAAGAGCCACAAGAAGAAGATAAAGAAAGACGATAGCTTAACCATAGCCAGGGCAAGTTCTTTATGGATTCACCCAAAGACTCTTTAGACTTCAGAGTCGTCGTCAACCTTATCCTTCCATTCACAGTCTATCCTGTCCACACAACTTTACTACTAGTATTTACTTGGTCCGATCTGTCTCCGAACCGAACACGACTCCTGCCTACCCAGATTGCAGACGTTATAACCACAAACAAATTGAGATGAGCTGTAATCTGAAACCTGCAAAAATAACTGTACATGAAGGGCCCACACGGTTGAAGAAAAACGGTACGGCTCGCCCTTCCAGTTCTCACAAGTCATTTGCAGAAATAACAATGACCCAATCTCGGATTTCTGGATAACAGTGAAGTTCTAATAAGGATAACTGAAGCATTAAAATGTTACTATACAATAAAATTAACTTCTCAGGCCAAAAAAAAAAATTCAAAACAGAAAAGACGTGGTTGCCTCTTAAACTATGACTATAAAATTTGAGAAAAAAATTGAAAAAATTGTAAGGTCCTCCCTCTTTTACTCTCAACTCTCGATATGAAGCCCTTCCTTCGCTCATTCTCTGAAAAACAAATTTGTGAAATGACAAATAAAGATGATGTCGCCAATATTCGATTCATTACATCATATATAGACATATATCTATATAAAGTAAAATTCAAAGCGACTCGTCATAATCATTCATGAGTTACGATCAAATGAAATTCTTCATATTTGTTATGATCAAATATCTTTTTACCGAATTTCCTAACCAATGATACAGAATAGGGGTCTGTCTCATGTGAATGTGCGATGAACAGGGAAGAAACAGAGTAGCAACTGGAAGACAATTTTCTTTCTCAAAAATCACATGTGGATCCCACTCAGATTTGCGAAACACGCTCGTTTACTCCGCGCATTACCGTATAAAGTGAGGATGGTGGACCAGTAAAATGAGGAGACGTCATCCATAGAGGACAAGGACTTCACGCATTGACCCAGAGACTCTGCAGACTCGTACTCAACTTTGCCTATCCACGTTTCTTTACTGTCCCGGGACGCGTTTCGTCCCCATCCAGATTCCACTAATTAAAAAGAAGAATTATCACAAGCTTCTAGAGAGAAATGGATTAACTAAAAATTTTCCACAACAAAATACTACTTCATAGTTTAATTATAAGATATTATTTATAAATTATAAATGAGGTCTTATAATTAAGACAAAAAAATAATAAGTTTTAGAAGACACAAGACTTTTTCGATAATTATACTTCTTTATTTCACTGTAATTCTTTGAAGTTAAAGTTACTTTTGCATCAAAGAAGGTTGAATCTAGCAAAAAAATTAATGTCTTACAACGTGACGATCAAGGTATAAATTTCTACCGGAAAAGGTACCCATATTTAGTTTCTGACAATATCTTAAATAAGATTAGCTCTAATAAGAAAATATCCATACTTTAATAATAATAATTAAAAAAAAGTTACTCTTCCATGCTATAAATTGGGGGGAAAATGACAATAAAATATTTTTTGAATTTCAAAATGACAAATAAGGCATCCGAATAAACAAAATGACAAAGAAGACATCAGGTACCAATATGAAATTTTGATTTTGAATTTTACAAAACACATAATGGGATTTACAGCTTTCATAGTGGAAGTTACTACTTCGTCAATGGGTTTTGCAACTTGTTTTAAAGGACTGGACAAGTTTTTTGTAAAAAAATACAATTCCGTGCCGAATTTGCAATCACATGATAGGATTTACAACTTTCACAATGAAATTTACTACTTGGTCAATGGGTTTTGTAACCTGTTTTGAGGGGTTGAACAACTTTTCTGTAAAAAATAATACAATTCAACACTGAATTTTACAAAACACGTAATGGGATTTACAACTTTCATAATAAGAGCTACTAGTTTGTCAATGGGTTTTGCAACATGTTTTGAGGCCAAAAATCAAAATTCCAAATTAGTACCTAATGTATTCTTCGTTATTTTGTTTATTCGGATGCCTTATTTATCATTTTAAAATTAAGAAGGTATTTTATTGTTAGTTTCTCTAAATTGGTGTCTTTGTCATTTTAGATTTTTAAAAGTTTAAACAGCTTCCCTCACCAGCCTGTCATTCTTCACCTTATGTTTCTGTTGTTATTCTTCTCTGCCCGTTTCAAGTTACTTGTTTTTAATGCTTTCTTCCTTCTAGTTTTTTTTTTTGGTGTTATAAAATTAAAGAATGAGTAGAAAATAAGAGAAGAAAATAAAAGAGAATTGAAGGTAGAAGTATTTCTCATTCCATTCAAAAATACTAAATACATGATATATGATCTCTATTTATAGGCACAATTTTATATCTTTGACCGAATCTTCAGATTACTTAATATAGAAAATAATTGTGGAATATAAAGATAATATAAGATATATAGACATCTACAAATATATTATTATATTCATAACACTCCCTTTTTAGATGTCCATTATATATAAGCGTGCCTCATTAAAAAACTTCAAATAGAAAAAACTCTGTGGAACAAAAATCTAGTGGAAGAAAAAGAGTATATCATTTATTGATACACTATGCAATACTACCTCATTAAAAACCTTGTTAGAAAAATCATAAATAAGGAAAAAAGAGTATAGTATGTATCAACTCCTCCTCTTGACAACAGCAGTTGACATTTTCGAGCCTGCAAAGTCTAATATACTGAAAAATCCTTCCCAATATTGTAGTGAAATAAAAATGTCAAATATTAATTTAATAATCTTCTGAAAATTATGAGATAAATAGTTTTTTAATAATTTAGCCACATGTGGATCATACTGTGATCTCTCAACATAAGGATCAAATGAAAATACTTTATTTACATAGCCAACAAGATTAACCTTGGGTATCTTCAGATAAAATAATATCTTAAATGTAGGAAGCAGTACAAATTAGGGGAGCCATTATTGGATGTTTATCGGCTTGACTTGGGACCGCGTCAAGGTTTGATGCGCCCACCATATTTAATTCATAGTCAGTTAGGAAACTTCCTGGAAATTGCCTAACGTCCAGCGTCTCTATCGTTTCTTTAAAACTGGGCCTTTCATTTTTGATGTGAACATGGAGGGCAATTCAGTTCATGAGGAGGTGATAATGTGAATGATGGTTGAGAGATTACGTGATTCTTTTAAAAGTTGAATTAAAAATTTGAAAGTATCAAATGAATAACAATTCAAAAATAAATTATAGCGCTTTTAATTGTGTATTACTACCTCCAGTCCTAATTATAAGAGCTAGTTGACTAATTTGAGGAGATTAAGGAAGTAAGTTGAGTTAGTTATTTATCCTAAATAGGTATTGTCTTTCCTAAAATATCATCGCTAATCAAGTATATTAACTAGAACTATCATCGTTAGAAGGGCTACTTTAGAAAAAAAATGTATACATATGAGAGATAAAGTTGATTGGGGTTTTATATTTAGGATCAAAATAAAAATAAAACAGGGTCTTATATTAAGAAGCAAAGATAGTATGTAATAAAAGAATTAAAATGGTGACCAACGCAATACTTTGTGCCCGAAGCCGATTTCCAAAAATCGGACAGGTCTACTAAACTAAATATTAAATGATGAAAAATTTAATTTTTAAGAAAATTTAAAAAAAGATTTAAATCAAAAAACTGTATAAACAAAATAACTTTTGCTTGTGTAACCAGAAAAAATTGTCAATCATTTTGAATAAAAAATGCATAAACAAAATTTTAAATATTTGTTGAGTTGATTGGTTCGACCAAATAGTCCAACTGTTCTAATTGTATGAATCATGATTTGCTCACCTCTCTTTTTAAACATAGGAGCAGAGGAGGGGAGAACTTCTACTAATTTATAAATAGAAAACAAAGAATCATGACAAATGTGTGCTAGTCTGTTTAAACTATCATCTTCAATTATGTGTATCAGATAATTAGAATTATCTTGTAGTGAAAACTTTTTGCAATTAATAGGGATATTTTGAGAAATAAAAAGAGACAAAATGGATTGAGGTTTTATATTGAGGATAAATCTAACAACTTGCTCTTATATTAAAAATCAGAGACGGTATTATTATAACAACTTAGTAATAAACCAAGACTATTTCCAAAGTTAGAGTCATTTTATTATTCGCAGCTCCCTCAAATTAATTCAATTGGCGCATGCAAAATTATAATTAGCTGAATGAGGACACAATAGCTCTCTAGAATTTATTTGTATATGATATGTTTCCAAATTATCCATGCTGAGTAAATGGCACTATAACTACATAATTAAGCTTTTCAACCATTTCAACACAACAAAGGGTGAATGTGAAAGAGAGTGTATTAATCGTCAAATCCCAAAGCAGAAATTTAGAGAAGGAGCCTGGAAATAATCAACCACAAAATAAACTCTAACCACTAGCTAGAGCTAACCAGATGGGGCTAATTGAAATATATATTTACATAAGTAATATAAAAACCATTTTTCTACATGATAAGTGTGTATTTTATAATTACATCGTTGTAGATGTTTAGACATATTATGTTAAATTGACAAATATTTTATAATTATATAATTAATTTTATATACTTTTAATTTCTTTCTATAATTAATTATATGATAAAAAAAGATTCAATTACGAAATCTGCTCACATTGT